CTTTCTAAATTTGTGTGTAGTTACAAATTCCTGTTTGGCACAGAATGTAGATGACTAAGTGTATTTGAATGTGGGTCTCGTCTATCTACTCTTACTGAATTGCTTCAAATGAAATGTACCTTTGGTCGCATATTCCTTTTCATATTCCACCCCAGCTAGTCTGGGAGGAGTGTCTGAATCAGTGTGAGAGAGCATCAAGGCAATGGGGATGTTGTTCCTTTTTCTACCCAACACCTGACCTCTTATGAATAGTTTCACACCTGTTTCCAAAGAGGTTGCCGAATATCACCGACAGGGAAAGGCCATTTCTCAGGAGATGGAAGTGCAGTGTCCCATTTCAGACCAGCACATGAGCAGTCAGTGTGTCAGGGTGGAAATTCTTCCCTGACCTCCTGGCAGGTAAGTCACTGCTGCTTATTTGGAGGAGCAAAATTGGTGCAGGGCAAATGCGCCAGCAGAGCAAATCCAGCCCTTCCGCTGATGTGGTTTAACTATGCCACCTTCCCCACTGGTAAGCAGCGATGATTCACCTGCCAGGTAAGCATCTCCATCCCACCCACCGTCCACTACTGGCTCAGCACTAACAGGAAAAGGACTCATTGTTAATTTCTTTCATGTGACTTCCATCCTAGAGGTCTTGCTAGAAGGGGCATCGGGTGGACATAGGCATTTGGGTTATATAAGTTTACAAAGTTCAGAACTTCCAAAAAGAAGCAGATAAGCTGCAGTAGTAGGACTCTGAATGGCATCTTCATAAATTAGCCAAGGTTGGCCCTGAGGAGAACAAATCGTTCCTCAATGAACACCACAGGAACATGCAAATGCCTTTTTCTTTGCTCACTTGTCGTTTTTGGTTTGAAACCCAGGGATTATTAAAAATAACACATATCCACATTTTAATTGGAAAAGAGAGAGAAAAATATCACTTTAAGGGGGCTGTATTATTCAAGGTCTTATTTGTTTGCAATTGCAGATTGTAACTCTGGGACCTAGCATCTAATCTGCGTAGCTGTAGGTGGACCGGTGGGTGAATCACAGGAATGGGTGTTAATAAATCAAATTCTGTTGTCGCTTGGTTGCTGTCTACATGTTTTCATTCCTTCCCCCCCCCTCCTCTTGCGCTTCACTACATCAGCTTTATGCTTTGGGAAACTAATGTGAAACAATCATGATAAAACTCAGCTCTCACAACAGGGTTTGCATAACACCGATGGAAATTAATGGAAGGTGGAGGTGGAATCTGGAATAAGTTAGAACTTTTGTCATTTCCCTCCGTGTAAAAACCTATTAACCAGGCTTAATAGTGAATGTCATTCTGTAGGATTCTTTTGCATGTGAAAAGGAAGACCGGTGCTCTTCACGGACAGTTTCTTTCCCTATTTGTTCAAAAAAAGTGGGGACACCAGTGGAAGCTGGTCCATTAGGATGAGTTGGGCACTGCCTGACCAACCTCAGCCTGCCACCAATCCATTCCTACCTGCTAGCCTTCTTTCTTACAACCAGTTCAAGGGGCGGCACTGGCTGTCAGCTTTCTCCTCCCTAGTGCCCTTATTACCATCGGAGGAAGGAGGAGAATGGAGAAAAAGATAGAATGAGTTAGCTCTGCCTGCTAACTGGTTGGACTGCTAATTGGTTCTGGCTCCACCTACAGTGGGTCTCCCTTCCACCTTACCAAGCACCACTGAAGGGTTCTTTAATAACTGTGCACACACCAATTTCTACTTCAGCAGTTTTTTGATAGTCATTGTTGTTTTAATTCCATGGAGAAAGGTCTGGTATAATGCTGGGAGGTGGCAGCCGTCCTCCCATCATTCCTCTTGGGTCCCCTAAGCTATTCTGCTCTGCCCTAAGGCATTGTATTATCTCATCACCATGGCTGAAGTAAGATTAGCTGCTGGATTTTGCAAGTGGAATGAGGAGGGCAATATTTTGGTTTTAGTAGCAAAATGTTTGGGGCCAACCCTGTGGGTGGAACGGAAACAGGATATAGGAGAGGTGATAACTGCAGCTAGAAAATTGCAAGCTGTGACAGAGCTCCCATGTTTTTCAACGGCACCATTTTCTTTTTTAACCTTCGCGTACAGGGATTCCTGCGCTACTCAGCCTGAACAAATTAAAACTGCTGAGGTCCACAGGAGACCAAACTTAACGAGACATTATGCTTCTCGCATCATGAGGCACCAACACATTCATCACTCAGAGGACATATGCTGGTCCTGAAGAGTACAATATGGCTAGGAATTAAGATGCTTTCATGAACATGGTGAGCTCCCAAAGGGTAAACCAAATTCCAGTTTGCATTCTTAAAGCATCAACATGGAATTTTTGCATTGATTGTGTAAATTAAGAAGCTGCCATCCCCGCCACCACATTTACTAGAAAAGATCATTTTTTAAAATATGGTCTGACGGAGATGGAAGCCATAGAAAACATTAGGTTGACTGGGAAATGGATTAGGCTGCAAAGCTATAACCTCTTAGATGGAAATAATGTCCATGGAGTTCAAGGGATTTCCTTTTCAGTAGATATGCTTAGGATTGCTGAGCTTTGTTACAGCTTAATCCTATGATACAGTGTACTTGGAAACACCTAGAACTGTGTGTGTAAAGGTTCATGCAGTAGTAGACAGTGAGGGGTGGTGATGGGAGGACTCACGTGACCTCCCAACAGCTGAGCCACTCCTGCTTATCTGGAGGGGGAGTGTCAAGGTGGTGGAGAGGCTGGTATGGTGCAAACACACCAATGGATCCTAACTGGCGCTCCTACCAATCTGTCTGTACTGCACCTCCCTCCCTGCTGTCCTACTCTCTTTTCCAATAAGCAGCAGTAATTGAGGTGTTGGGAGGTCAACGGACCACAGCCACCCAGTCTGCTACAGGGTTCATTCACCACCACCACCACTCCACCTTGTGTGGTGGTGGTGGGGCGGATTGCCAGACCAAAAGCTCATCCCTAGGTCAAGAAGAAACCAGTAATTTCAAGTGATGACTGGGGCTATAATGGAGCTGTGATCCAAAGAAGAACTGTGGTTTGTGGCTAAGCAACTCATATTTGGAGTAGACCCATTGAACTCAATGGGCATGACTAATGTTAAACCAATTTATTGCAACAGGTCTCCTTCTTCTTTGGTGATCACCTGTAGCTGAGTAAGATTGTCTTCCATAAACACGGTTTTAACAGTGAGTCTGTAAGTGATTGTGGAGGCCAGTTCTGGATCCACACGTCCTTCCACAGTGGGAACATAGGTTTCTGGGTAGGAGTTGATGACGGTGAGGGTTTGCCAAACTTGCCTTCCTCTTAGCATGTTTCTCCCTTTCGTCCTGAGTTTGAGTGTCTTCAAAGTCCATTACACCTTTGGTAAAGGCTGCTCTCCAATTGGAGCGCTCGCAGGCCAGTGTTTCCCAGCTGTCGGTGTTTATACTACATTTTTTAAAAGATTGCCTCGAGAGTGTCTTTAAACCTCTGTTGTTGACCACCAGCATTACGTTTTCCATTTTTAAGTTCAGAATAGAGTAGTTGCTTTGGAAGACGATAATCAGGCATCTGAACGACATGACCAGACTACTCGGAGTTTGTCTGAGCTGGATACAACCCTGTGCATCCATCTTCCCAGGGGGCTTTGGCAAACCATGCTGCATGGTAAAAGAATGATGGAACAAAGAGGAGTTATTTGTGACATTGCCATTGCAGGGGAAGAATATACTCTTCAAACGAAAAATGTTGAAACTTGCTGGCATGTGCAAGTGCATCAGAGTAATGCTTTGAATCCCACCTGACATCTTTCAATTATGCATCTTGGATGATCTGTTTCCTCCTGGTACAACACAGCCACCATTTTGTTCCAAACTGCACGATTCTCTTCTACTTGTAATTCTTCTCTGCTCCGTTTGAAGATTGATTTTGAACTCCTTGGTGGGTGAAAGTACTTGTTAAATGCAAATCTGTTCACTCCTACTACTACTGATTGTTACTAATGCTATTACACAAACTCATGGGGTGTCAGTCGGTCTTTCCGAGGCAACTCATATCCTATCTGGCATATATTTTTGTGAAATACTTTGTATAAGTTTGTCTTGGTTGCAATAGCTGATTTTGCATTGGCTTTCCCCCCAGCAGTTTTCCATGCAAATACAGTTTTTAATTTTCAACTGCTGCTAACTTAGATCCATAAATTTAAATGGGTCTACTCTGAGCAGGGCTTATTTGACTACAATGGTACCTCGGGTTACAGACGCTTCAGGTTACAGACTCCACTAACCCAGAAATAGTACCTCAGGTTAAGAACTTTGCTTCAGGATGAGAGCAGAAATTGCACAGCAGCAACGCCGCGGCAGCGGGAGGCCCCATTAGCTAAAGTGGTACCTCAGGTTAAGAACGGTTTCAGGTTAAGAATGGACCTCCGGAACGAATTAAGTTCTTAACCCGAGGTACCACTGTACAACCCGTAGCGCTTAAGAAAAAAGCAGAACCTGACGAAACACAATTTGTAAATCTTAGCATAAATTTATGCATGCCTTAAAATAACCTTGTTAATTCACTCAAGCTGAATTTGAAAAGGTACTTACATTATGTGGGATGTATAAATGTTATATACAGTACTTTACTGCAGGCATAAAATATTCAGAATGACTGTATGAGACAATTTCATTTATCCCTAAACAAAACATTTTTTAAAAAATGAATGAGGCACTTATTTTTAAATTGAAATGCCTTTCCTTTCCTGACCACACTGGATCTTACGGAACTGGGAGTGTGTATTTTTCATTTGGGGCACTGATGTCAGACCACATGAATAAATTATTTTATTTCATGGTGAATAATTCATAGTGTTTGCCACTAATACTTGCGTTGGAAACTCTTACCAGAACTTTTGGGGTGCCTTCCAGTAAAAAGACCTGGATCCAAAGAAACAAGTGATGACTTGTGGTACCTTCCCAAAAGAGCTTTCTCAGTGAGCTTCTCAAATAGCATCCCTGCCCACTTTCTACATGAAAGAGAAAGACTGTAGCTCAGTGGAAGAGCATCTGCTTTGCATGCAGAAGACCTCAAGTTCAGCCCCTAGCATCTCCAGGTAAGGCTGGAAGAGATTCCTGCCTGAAACCCTAGAGAGCTGTTGCCCATCATTGTAGACAAACCTGAGATACATGGGCCAAGGGGAGCACTGAGATAGATATTGTTATGTACTGAGTTGAATAGGATCCAAAATGCAGCAGTCTGATTGGTTCTAGAACAATAGGATCCAAAATGCAGCAGTCTGATTGGTCCTAGAACAATAGGATTCAGAATGCAGCAGTCTGATTGGTCCTAGAACAATGCAGCAGTATGACTGGTCTGCAGGAGCCACCCAATCCAGCTCCAGATGGAAGTGAATCCACAACCTGATTGGCCTACAGGAGAATCCCGGAATTAGCCAATCACGTGCAGCCCATTGTGTAAATAATGTATATAAAGCAGATACTTTGGGGGGACTTTCTTCCTCCTCACCACTATGAGCTAAATAAAGAGCATGAAATCCACTCTCGACTCTTGAGTATATTTCAGATATACTCAGTTTTAGCCTGCTTTCTGATTTCTTATGGCTGCTCTTCTTCTTCTTCTTTTTCTTCTTCTTCTTCTTCTTCTTCTTCTTCTTCTTCTTCTTCTTCTTCTCTTACTCGGCTACGAGTGATCGCCGAAGAAGAATTTTACTCACAGCGTTTCCAGAAGTTACAGCAAACAAGTCTCCATCTGCTGGCAGCAAAATGAAGATGGAAAATGTTGCAAATGACTTAAAAGGAAAAGAACTTGGTTTCCTTACAAAAAGAACCATACCATCTTTGTGTTAGCAAAGATGCAGGCCTTGAAATCTCCTTTTGGAGAGATTCAGATCATTTGCAGGGAGCCATGGCTGCATGGCTTCTTCTTCACTTGTTCCGGGAAGCATGGAGAAACTGAGACTGGGGGAAGCAGTGGCTGTTGAGAGCCCACTAAGCCACATCCACTTGCAACCTGAGCTCAGGTTAACCCCTTCATGCAAGTCTGTCTCAGTAACTGAATATTATAATACATGAGGATTGCTATCTGATTGCCTATCATTCTCCAGGAGGAGGAGGAAGAAGAAGAAGAAGAAGAAGAAGAAGAAGAAGAAGAAGAAGAAGAAGAAGAAGAACAACAACAACAACAACAACAACAACAACAACAACAACAACAACAATTTATTTATACCCCGCCCATCTGGCTCAGTTTTCCCAGCCACTCTGGGCGGCTTCCAACAGAATATTAAAATACAGTAATCTATTAAACATTAAAAGCTTCCCTAATGCCTTTAGCCTTTCTTCAATTTGGTCTGCAAACCACGTTTCGTTTTAAAAATAGCCTTGTACAGAATCTACACCAATATTCTTCAACCTTGGGTCCCCAGATGTTTCTGTACTACAACTCCCATTACCCATGACTAAGCCAGCAGGGGGTGATGGGAGCTGTAGTCCAGAAACATCTGGGAACCCAAGGTTGAAGAATACTGATCTAGACACCCGTAAGACATATATAATTACAATGATAAATAATTATGCTGAGGTTACTGCAGCTCAAGCTGTGCACCCCCTTTTGATGGCTCATTCCCACAGTATTTCTTGGATTTGGCTGGAAGATGAAATTTTCTTATAAGTTTGAAGCCGAGTCCTAATGTTGTACGACAAGAGTTAAATTAAAAAGAGAGAGAATCATTCCTTTAGAAGCTACTATCTTTCCCCTCCAAGCCAGCCACCTGCTTTAAATGTAGCCCTGTGACAGATGTGGCCTGTAATTTTCATTGAATTAAAAAAAAATGCTTGTGGGAAAGAATGCTAAACACCAGGGCAAAATCTGGCCTTTGTACATAGCCTGAACACTTTTGTGAGCATGTCATTGGAGTTGCCTACCAAAGGACTGGTGGGAAAAGGTTTATGTGTTACTTATTCTCCAGGGCCTAATTCAATTGCGACCCTGCGAAATGTCACTGCCCCACCTCATTAATTACTGAAGACAGGTGTGTGGGTATTACGGTGGAGCTGTTACTTTTCCTGAAAATCGACATTAAAAATATGTATTCTTTATTGATGTGATAATCAGGCAGGCATTAAGAGTTTTAAGTAAGCCTCGAGCCTTTCTAACTAATCAGAAACATACTCTTACTGCACATCCACACCTGTGTTTTACCAATAATTAAGAAAATAGACACCTGAAGCAGTTAAAGAGCTCACATCAGGCATATTGAGAATGTGTAGTTAGGATGCCATAATTGTCTACACACAAAGTTTTCATTCCAGATGTTGATGCTGATAGATAATTATCTCAAGTTAGAACACTATTTTTGAAGTTTGTTGTTGTTGTTGTTTAGTCGTTTAGTTGTGTCCGACTCTTCGTGACGCCCATGGACCAGAGCACGCCAGGCACTCCTCTCTTCCGTTGCCTCCCGCAGTTTGGTCAAGCTCATGTTCATAGCTTCGAGAACACTGTCCAACCATCTCGTCCTCTGTCGTCCCCTTCTTCTTGTGCCCTCAATCTTTCCCATCATCAGGGTCTTTTCTAGGGAGTCTTCTCTTCTCATGAGGTAGCCAAAGTATTGGAGCCTCAGCTTCAGGATCTGTCCTTCCAGTGAGCACTCAGTGCTGATTTCCTTAAGAATGGATAGGTTTGATCTTCTTGCAGTCCATGGGACTCTCAAGAGTCTCCTCCAGCACCATAATGCAAAAGCATCAATTCTTCAGCGATCAGCCTTCTTTATGGTCCAGCTCTCACTTCCATACATCACAAGTGTTCCCTAAACCAAGTGATGCCTAAATTGCAGTCCTCCAGAAGTTGTTGGAATACAACTTCCATCATCCCTGAACGTAGACCATGCTAGTCAGGGATGATAGGAGCTGGAGTCCATCCCTGTCTTCAACCTTGGATGTGTTGGAATCTGCACAGATATAATTGTTTTGCATTACAACTGTACTTTTGAAAATATATAGAATGTACATTTTAAAAGATCACGTAGAAGTTGTCTTTCTGATCACTTTATTCTCTTTTCATCTGTGATGCCATAGTTATATTTAAGTCAGTTCTCTCTCTCTCTCTCTCTCTCTCTCTCTCTCTCTCTCTCTCTGTTTGTGTGTGTGTGTGTCTGAATAGGTGATCATTTGAGGACTCTGATATTAGTATAGAAGAAAGAAGTTAGTAATAATAACTACAGTTAACAACAACACAATCTTTCTTTGAGCCTACTGTCAGTGATAAACTCCAGCCCTTATTGGGCGTTGTTGGAAATCTCAGAATTACATAATATTTCCAGAACATTTTTCCCCCAACATAGTTTTTATGCCACCTAGTGGTAATGTTAGGTGACTTTTTCCTTTTTTTTTCAAATTCCTTCCAACCATGGACATGAACTATTGAAGGTTCCTAGAGGGCTGAAAATAGGGTTTATTGCAGTGTTTTTTTCTGGGGGTACGAGGGGGTACACATACCCCTAAACATTTTGTGAATCTAAGTTTGGCCTATTGAGGGGCAGTATTTCAATATGAGTAGGAAAATGAGAGTACCCTTAAACAAATTTTTAGCAAAAAAGCACTGGTTTATTGTATTTCCTTCCTTCCCTATTCCAAAGACTCGGGATGGATTACAATCCAATCTCCTTTTGTCTTTGCTAATTGTAAGGTAGATAAGGCTCGGAGCAATTTTCTCAACCCTACCCAATTAATTTTCTTACATTTGCATCTAGTTTTTTCTTCCATCATGGAGCCCAAAGTGGCAATGAACCTAATGAGATCCATAACTGATCAAGGTTTTGACACTGGGTCTCTCTCACACGCAACTGAACATGCTAGCTGCAGCACCACACACAAGCCAAACAATAAAGTGTTAGATGAGCCTCCATAATTTTCATATTCTAACCTTCCAAAAACCATAAAGGTAAAGGGACCACTAACCATTAGGTCCAGTAGTGACCGACTCTGGGGTTGCGGTGCTCATCTTACTTTATTGGCCAAGGGAGCCAGCGTACAGCTTCCAGGTCATGTGGCCAGCATGACTAAGCCACTTCTGGCAAACCAGAGCAGCACACAGAAACGCCGTTTACCTTCCCACTGGAGTGGTACCTATTTATCTACTTGCACTTTGACGTGCTTTCGAACTGCTAGGTTGGCAGGAGCAGGGACCGAGCAACGGGAGCTCACCCCGTCGCGGGGATTTGAACCGCCAACCTTCTGATCGGCAAGTCCTAGGTTCTGTAGTTTAACCCACAGCGCCACCCACATCCCTCCAAAAACCATAGTAGTTGGCTTTCTTGCTCCAGGAATGTAGCCTGACACTATCATCCTATTATTAATAGTAATAGTAGCAGCAACCACAGTAGCAGCAACACTTCATATTTATACAGTACTATTTCTAAGTGCTCCTTCCCAGCACATTCCCAGCATGTTCACAGTCCTGTCTCAGCCACGTCTCTGCTGGCTTGGTCATGCTCACAGAATGGAAGATGGCAGGGTCCTCAAAGATGTGCTCTATGGGGAGCTGGCTTCAGGCACCAGGCTCATTGGCAGACCAACAAAGATGTCTGCAAACGCAACATGAAGGCTGGCAACCTCAGCCCTGCCAATGTGAGAATCCCTTGCAGACTACCTCAGTGCCTGAAGACAGGCAGTCAAGTCATGTATCCATTAGCAGCGATCAGAGGAGAAATGAAGAAGAAGAAGAGGAGGAGGAGGAGGTGTTTGGATTTGATATCCCGCTTTATCACTACCCGAAGGAGTCTCAAAGCGGCTAACATTCTCCTTTCCCTTCCTCCCCCACAACAAACACCCTGTGAGGTGAGTGGGGCTGAGAGACTTCAGAGAAGTGTGACTAGCCCAAGGTCACCCAGCAGCTGCATGTGGAGGAGCGGGGACGCAAACCTGGTTCACTAGATTACGAGTCCACCGCTCTTAACCACTACACCACACTGGCTCAATGACCACTGGGAGGAGAGCAGAGAGAAGAAATGCCATGGTACATCTGCAGCAGCACAACTGGATGCCTCCATCTGCCCCAGCTTCAACAAAACATGTCTCTCCCGCATCTGTCTCTACAGC